GATAGATAGATAGATAGATAGATAGATAGATAGATAGATAGATAGATAGATATAGATATAGCAAACATTTAATAAAGTATATTTGAAAAAAGAATATCCATTCATATTCCTACTAAAATTAGAATACTATTTTATAGAGAATGTTTAGCAAGCTTTAAATTCAAATCTCTATAAACCTGCCTCCACACTACTCTTAATTTTGTTTAATCTCCTCCTCTCCTATTTTTCTTAGTGTCTAAAATAAAGTCTAAAAACGGAGAAAGGAAACAAAATCATTCCTGCTTGAATTTTCATAATTGTAACGGATTCAACAGAAAAGGAAGGAGGGATGGAAAAGGAAGAGGAAAAATGCAGATTCATGCACTCGCTTAAAATGAAGGCAGAATTATTAAAAAGCACCAGTTGGGATAAATAATTTGGGGTGCTGATGCTGGGACTGCACCCCAACTTCTGCTGCTGCCCAGGATGCTATTTACCTTTCAAGCCAAGGGATTCGTGGATTGGCACTGTCTTTTCAAAACCCTCCAGTTCAGCCAGGTAACTTCCACCAGTCCAGCTTGGCAGCTGCTGCTCCACCTCATTTTCAGGTAGAAACCAGGAACCTAAGTCACCAAAATCATCTTGGAAAATCTTCCTGTACTCTTCCAAAAAGTCTTGTGCAATGTAAAAAGAGAGAGAAAAGAATGTAAGAGGTGTTTTTTTATTCTTGTATTATGCAGCTGGAATTATCAAAAGCCTGGGACTGATTCCGAGGTGGTATTCAGCAGGTTCTGACCAGTTTTGGAGAACCGGTAGTGGAAATTTTAAGTAGTTCGGAGAACCAGCAAATCCCACCTCTGACTGGCCCCGCCCCCATCTCTCCTCCGCCTCCAGAGTCCCAGCTGATTGGCTGGGTCTTCTTTTGTTGCCCTGCACAGGAGAACAGAGCTGGAAAGCAGGTTAGTGGGATGGGGAGGGAATGGGGATTTTGGAGTAATCTTCCCCTGCCACGTCCACCAAGCCACGCCCACCAAGCCATGCCACGCCCACCAAGCCACGCCCACAAAACCAGTAGTAAAAAAAAATTGAATCCCACCACTGGACTGACTGATAGGTTGAGATAGCTACAGCCCATCACTCTCTCTGCATTTGTGGCCTGAATATTCACACAGGACATAAACATGAAATAATATTCATTTCTTTGAAACTGATGCCACAGCAAATCTCAGCACCTGGCAACCTTGGTAGATTTTTTAAAACAAAAAAATCTAAGCGGGTTTAGACCTGATCATTGTTGGGATGGGAAACCACCAGAATACGTCAAGTTTCAAATAAATAAACCACCTCATACAGGCCGTCTTCGACTTATGATCGCAACTGAGCTCAACATTTCTGTTGCAAAGTGAGACCTATGTTGAGTTTTTCCCCCATTTTATGACCTTGTCAGAAAGCTGCGAAAGGGGACCACATGACGCCCCAGGACTCTGCAAACCGTCATAAATATGAATTAGTTGCCAAGCATCGGAATTTTGATCACATGACCATGGGGATGGCGCAACAGTCTTAAGTGTGAAAAAGCGGTCATAAGTCATATAAGCTTATGACCATAAGCGGTCATAAGTTTTTCAGTGCCATTGTAACTTTGAACGGTCATTACATGAACTGTTGTAGGTTGAGGATTGTCTCTAAACAAACCACCACCAAAAAAAGAAGGCAGGATAAACCTTTTATCTCATCTTGTTGCCAGAATAATCCTATGGATTTAATCAACAGGAGCTGAGCTAAGAAATTTCTACCTTTGCTTGCTCTTTCTAGCCAGAAATCTTGGACAGAACATTGGCCAGAAATTTTAAGGAAAGCGTCAGGGCTCTATCTAACTGCCTAACTTTTATCAGCATGGTAAGTAACTCTCCAAAAGGTGAGCAGAAGAGATACAAATTTAGGGTGAGAAGAAGTCAGACAACAAAACTTTTTAAATGCACCAAAACAGGCTGTGAGCTTTAGAGAACCTGCCTCCCCCCCGGGTTGCAATCCTATAGAAGTTGAGCAGTTGGGCAAACCACTCCAAAAGTTGACGATTCTTCCATTCTCAGCTCTCCTCCTTCATCCTTCCTGCTCATACGTCCAGGGGTGAGCTTCAAAAATTTTAACAACGGGTTCTCTGCCCGGTTGTGGGGTCGGCATGCCCATGGTGGGCGTGGCCTAGTCGGCCTCCTGCACCGTGGCAGGGGGGCGTTTTTGCCCTTCCCAGGCTCCAGAGACGTTACTCAAGCCTCCAGGAGGGTGAAAATGGCTTCCCCAGGCTCCGGAGGCTCTCTGGAAGCCAGAAACAGGCCCATTTCCAGCCTTCCTGAACTTCCAGGAGGCCCGTTTTTCGCCCTTCCCCGAGCCTCCGCGTGCGCCCTGCTCTTACCTGCATCCAAAATGGGCTGCACGGGGACTCCTGGGAGGGGTAGGCAGAGTGGGATTTGGGGGTTCTCTGAACTGCACAGAATCTTAGCGAGGGGCTATCCCGAACCACCCCTGCATATGCCCCAGAGTGGACCATATGCAAACACCCCTTGCTTTCCTGTTGCATGTCTACTTACAAACATGTGGCCACATCTGGGGAAGGATTTGGCAAGAATTCCAGAAAAAAAACATGTTCCACATGTTTCCTCTGTTTGGGTTAGAGGTGCAGGGGGCTTGCCAAGTCCTACACTTAGGCAAGGAAAACCAAAAGTACACATATAATTGACTGGGTGAAACCAGGCTCAATAGCAGTAACTGTGAGAGGGATCTTGGAGTCTTAGTGGACAACCAGCGAAAGATGAGCCAGCAGTGTGCAGCAGTAACCAAAAAAGTTAATGCAATCCTAAGCTGCATTAACAGAGGGATTCAATCAAGATCAAGGGAGGTACTAATACCACTCTATAAAGCCTTAGTAAGACCACACCTAGAATACTGCATCCAGTTTTGGTCACCACTCTATAAAAAAGATGTTGAGACTCTAGAAAAAGTACAGAGAAGAGCAACCAGGATGATAAGAGGACTGGAGACTAAAACATATGAAGAACGGTTATAGGAACTGGGCATGGCTAATCTAGTAAAGAGAAGGACCAGGGGAGACACGATAAAGGTCTTCCAATATTTGAGGGGCTGCCACAGAGAGGAAGTGGTTAAGCTATTTTCCAAGGCACCTGTAGGCCAGACAAGGAATAATGGATGGTAACTGAACAAGGAAAGATTCAACCTGGAAATAAGGAGGAACTTTCTGACAGTGAGAACAAAACCAATGGAACAGAAGTTGCCCTCGGAAGTTGTGGGAGCGCCATCACTTGAGACATTCAAGAAGAGATTGGACTGCCATTTGTCAGAAATGATGTAGGGTCTCCCACTTGGGCGGTGGGGGGTTGGACTAGATGACCTACAAGATCCTTTCCAACTCTGATTATCTATTATCTGTTAACTTAGTGGCCTGTCAAAAACAAGACAAAATTTTGTGGTTTCGTTTTTCCCAAACAAATAAAAGCATCTCTTACCTGTTCCTTCGATCTCTGCTCCAACAGGGACCGTTTGCACCGGGTTATCCCTCCAGCTTTCTTGCCCAGACTCCATATCTGCAGCCCACAGATAGAGACAAATATTATCCCCACTTCACTTTCTGCAAGACCGTGTTTTGCCCTGCTCAACTGTTCTCGCCCTGCCCACTTGCCAGGAGAGCAGATGGATGGTCCATTTTCATCCCTCAAGGTGGAACCATCAGGAGAGAGTCATGATTAAAGCTGCCCACCCCAAGACTATAGCCCCCACCTGCCACCCAGTTTCATTTCTGAAAATAAATAAATGCACTCGCCTGCCTTCAAAACATCATAAAAAATGTTTCAATTATTTATACTTTTATAAGAATGATAGGCTGCATTCATAATGTGGGTTTCCCTTTGCATAAGCTCTTACTAGTCCAACTTTCAATGATTTGTTAAATAATCAGTCATTCGCAGTAGACAGGAATTACTGTAATTCTTTATCATACCTTATTATTTACACTGTGCTGATTGTTGCCTTTGTTATTTATATGCTAAACCAGACTTTAACAATGATCTGATTTTTTTAATGATAAAAATTATTCACTTATGTCAAACTAACTAATGAAACACTGAAAATTCTTATCTAATGCACACATACATGTAGATAGATATGATAGTTACATAAAACAAAGAAATATTGAAAATTCTTATTGTCTAGATATAAAATATTTTGCAGGATCCTGGGACATGTATGTTTGCCTTCATTCATAAAATATGTTATCTATGTATAGATTCAGAATTGCATGCATTTACACAAATATAATAGTTATGTAAAACTATTTTGTGAAATACTGAAGATTTTTATGTATATAAAATGGAAATTCATAACACACAAACAAATATGAATTAAATGTTATGTTTCTAACTGTATTTTTTCCAGAAAATGAGTTTATTCAGTAACTCAGTTGAATAATCAAAACTAAGCTAGTATCAAACCAGAGGTGGCATTGAGGACAATTTGGGACCGATCCACCTAAACTCTAGTGAAGAGAATGAATTGGATTGGATTTCCTTAACTCAGCATCATTCAAAAATGTTGGCAACTCCCAGAATTCCTTTGGCCATGATAGCCAGATGTTCCAGAGGTTAGCAGTCTCAACATTTCTTTGGCATCCTGGCTAAGGAGGGCTAAATTAAATAGATTTGATCATGTATCAGACTGCAGATACTAGATAATAGGTCTGACATATTTTTGCGTGAAATTTTCACACACACACACAGACACATCACTCCAATACAATCCTTGCCTCAACCCCTGATTTTACTCACCAGTTTGCAGAGGTCTCTTATGGGATGGCCGGCTTGGAGAAATTTCTTGCAGGTAAACAAATACCAAAGTTTGAGTAGCACAAAATATCTTCTGCTCCTTGGACTATGAAGTTGGGAGAAGAATAGTTACACCTAGAAGTATCTCCGGCTAGTTGGCTTCTGCTGCTTTCGTCGTAAAAGTATTGGCCTGCGCTTATCCCTTGCCAGGGGTCTCTATCATTTCCACCCACCCACCCACCCACCCACCTTTTCTCTCTATATTCATCCTTGTACTTCTTTGCTCCCATTGGTTGAATAAAGGAGCAAGTTTCGTGACTTTTTCTGTGTTTTTGAGGGTGGGGTGAGGGGGAGGGAGGCAGAAAGATTTTCCATGTCGGCACAGCCAATGTGGTGTCTGTGTGTGTGAAAGGGACAGGGAGGGAGAGGGGAGGAGAGAGTGTGTGTGTATCACGACTTTGCAATCCCCGAGGGGCGACCAGGTGGCCAAATTTCAGAGACAGAAGCAAATTCGTGAGAGGAAGCAAGGCTGGGATGTTTATCTCTCAGGAACACAATACAGTTCACCAAACCTTCCAAGCAAGCTAGTCGTCCCAACTCCAATCAATCTTGAAAGGAGACAACATGACTTCCTCCAAAGCCTGCCCTAAGCCAGGAAACCCCTAATTTTCTCACTGAGCCAAACACCTTCTAAACCAGGTTTATTACCCTTGAGAGCCAAGATTGTTTACCTAGGGTGTTGAAAGAAGACAATTCCAGGAGTTATACACGTAGGAAGCTCTTCTTAAGCTGCCGCATCACAATTCTCAACAAGACGTACAAGTTGAAGGGAGGGAGAGCTAGAACTCAACACAGCCCTAGAAGGAACTAAGTTGACCAACCCTACAGTTATACTTACACGCTGTACCAAGGGAGAGGAGAGCTGAGCTTAACAAATACCAGCAAGGGGAAGAGGATTGGATCAGAATCATAACATGGGAGGGAATGTGAGCCAGCTGTGTCTATCTTACACCCAACTGAATTCTGGTGCTTCTAAGAGGAGAAATCCAACTGCTACTTAAGGGAAATCTCCAGATATTTATCCACAAAACAAGCAAGATATTTTCACCCCGCTTAGATGGTAACAAGCACCTTCCTAACACAAGGGTGACTTGTATTGAGAAACTGGAGTTGAGTGGGAGGTAGGACAAGCATTGAAAAAAACAAAACGGAGTCTAGTTGCACTGTGGTGTTGTGCTGTGCAATTAAAACCAAGTAGCTTGATTTTGGCCAGGTTGACCACACACACTGTCTCTTCTGCGCACTTTTCTCTATGACGAGCAATGGGTGGCAGAGTTACCCAACCCATAGAGAAGCCAGTCCCCTTGTACTTAAACAGCCCTAAACCACAAACCCACAGAATTGGGTAATGGCTTGAGATTGGGCAAGGAACAACAAAAGAGCTCCCCACCCAACAAGCTTGTTACCCCCACCCCCCCAGTTGAGCCAGACATTAGCCCCACATCTGAGTCTCAATCCACCTTTCCCAACTTGGTTCTCACTAAATCAGCTGGACCGCAACCCACCCACCCCATCACTACCTGGGGAAGGATGATAACCACTGTAGTTCAACACATCTGGGCAAGCCTTATTCAAGATCAAGGGCGCATAATTTTGGCCTGGATATTATGTGCTGGAGGCTTGATTCCCCCAGAGTAGATAGGATGAAGTTGTGGGTGACATCAGTCCCCAAATAAATCTGATTTAATTGTAATTCCAACCCAAGCATTTAAAGAAAGCATCTGTCAAATTGAAATTTGCAATTCAGTGGCAACTCTTGGAAGAGTTGGAGGCTACTTATAGCCCTGGGGCTTGCACATCTCTGTCCTACATGAAGCCTGCAGCCTGGCCTCCATTCGTCCAAAGCCCTAATTGCTCTCCATCCTCATCCCATGAACAGGCCCCTCGCCCAGCATTCCAGCGGCCCCAATGATCCTTCAGAAGAACTCTTACGTTGCAGGCTCACGGCTCCTATTGAGTTTGAGGGCGCTCCATTCTGTGCCCCCTTCCAGGGAATCTCAGCAGAGAGGTGAGTGGGTGGGTGGGTATGCCAGCCTCCGAAAATATGATGTGAGATTGTGCAATCATCCCCAGCGTTGAGACAAGGAGTGCACAACAGCAACCGGAAACCACAAGGCCCCCACGCCTTACCACAAAGCACAAACCAGGTGCAACAGAGCTCAGAAAAGTAGTAGAAGAGGAGGAGGAGGAAGAGACAGAATGAAAAGAAGTTGTCCATTTGCTCTGCCTAAGTTGGAAAACTGGAGATTTTTTTTATGGCCAACAGCAAGCAGGGGGGGATAGTTTTTCTATCAAGGTGAAAGTGGCAAGTTAAGTTGGGCACTGTTTTTGTAGGTGGAAAAAGATCTTAAAAGCAAATTAAATTAAAAAAAACACCAAGATGTTGCAGCCTCTCTTTTATCTGGTCCCTGAAACATTGGTTGGATAGGCAGAGAAGAAGCCAAGTATCTCTATTTCCCAAACCATGGCTAAAAAAAAAACATGAAATAGAAAATAGGGTAAAATATTGCAAATTCCCAAACCATCCCTGGGATCTGCTCTTGGGGTTGAGGGGCAGGGGAGGTGGCATGGTCCACCTAGGGTACCTGTTTCTGTTTGTTAGGAACAAACCTTGAAGCCAGAAAGTACATTGTTTTTGCATTATTTTCCCTAAATGGGCCATTTAGGACAGGCATCCAGAACCCTAACCAATACTGAACATGAGAGGTTTGCAAAGATCTACCAGATTTAGAAACAAGCCTAGCACTGCATTCAGCAGTATTATTGAATTAACCCGTTTATGAAAAACACTCAACTACAAACTAACAAAAGAGGTTGAATTCACACAATGCTCTAAAGCCAGGAGAACCTAACCAAGATGAATTGTAACTGAGCTTCCCACATTGTGTGTGGATGGAATCCCTAGATTTGATCATTGGGATGACTGTGAACACTACTGTTGAGGTTGATGTATGCTGCATCGTAAAGCATTAAAAGCTGGTAATTTGTTTCATAACATGTTTTCTTAAAAATAAGAAAACCACTGAAACCAAGTTTTAAAAGCACAAATTTCAAATAACTAAAAGAGAACTCTCAAATGAGTTTATTTCTACGGGGCTTAACCTTGTGATGATTCACTCATTTGTAAATGAGTTATGAATAAATAAAGTACATGTAATTAAGAACAGAACAGAATAATAGAAGTGGAAGGGACCTTGGAGGTCTTCTAGTCCAACCCCTATACCATTTCAGACAAATGGTTGTCCAATTAACTTGATGGCCAAGGTGCAGGTTGGTCAGGATGCATGCAGAATGCTAAAAAAATAATCCAGGTGAAAATTGCCGAGTTTAACATATTGTGTGAATGCAACCAATAGGTTAGTTACAGCCCCAATTAAGTATGTTGTGCAGATGCAGCCTGGTGAGTGTATTCTACTGCAGGGCGTAGCAGAGTGAGGATGCTTTCAATGGAGCCCATCAAACAGAACTGTTAACTGATGGTATCTCCAGAAGATCCTTCCTGCAGAGATGAAAGTCCAATCACATAACAAGAGAAGTCTATCGTTGGATGGCCAGCCCCTGGAATGCTTTCAGCAAAATTTAGAACCAGAGCCTGACACTGAGATCAAGAAAAAAATATATATATATATAGCTATGTATCGTCCCCTTTATCAAACCATCATAAGAGACAAACATGGCCGTTTCAGTACCATTTCAGTAGGGTAAATGCAGTTCGCATGGGATTTCTAAGAAGTACATGTGAAAAACAAGAAGAGATAAGGTCAAGAATATTGAATGAGTGTGAATTCATGTGGATTAAGTACAAAAGAGAATGGCCAGCGTAAAACAAATATGCTTGAGATGGTTTGGGTCATATAGAGAGATTGAACGAGGATCAAACTGGAATACAAATTAAGGAAGCTTGGATGAGTTGAGAGGAAGAGAAAGGCACAAGAACTCAAAGTTGGATGGAGTTGAGGAAAGCCTCAAAAAGAGAAAGTTTGATGAAGAAAAGCAGTTCATGGATATAATGGAGGTAAGGAAGACAGAAAGATGTGATAGTGGAGGTATAGTGAAGGAGGTTGGCTTAAACTCAAGAGGCATTTATAGGACGGCAGAAATTCAGTCAATTAGTTGCACTCGCCATTTTGATTTCTTTGATCTTCCTCTTGCCTCTATTTAAATGTATTTAGATGTAGCAATATTTTCTTTTAATGTATTTAGATGTAGCTCTATCTCCTTTTCTTTTTCCAGTTTCATGCCTACGTTGACTTGTTCTTTCTTACTCTTTTCTGTATTTAGCATATTGTTGTTGTAGCTGTTGTTGTTGTTAATCTTCAATTAGATTCATGGTCTGGGACTGGTATACAGTTCAAGTGCTAAACAAATATATAGCCAGTTCCCAGTAGGGTGATTTTATTTTATTTTATTTTTTGCAAAGCCAGGATATTCAGGTCTAATAAGTTTCTATTCATCTAGGTAGCCCTTTGGGTATTGCTCCAAGGCCTCCTAATCATGGTTCATTTTTTTACACCACCCACTTTATGCAGTCCAAATTTAATCCAGATAGTTAATTTATATAATGTGCATAATACTAGTAATAATACCACTCTGTAAAGCCTTAGTAAGACCACACCTAAAGTACTGCATCCAATTTTGATCACCACATTATAAAAAAGATGTTGAGACTCTAGAAAAATACAAAGAGCAACCAGGATGATTAGGAGACTGGAGACTAAAACATATGAAGAACATATGAAGAACGGTTACAGGAACTGGGCATGGCTAGTCTGGTGAAGAGAAGGACCAGGGGAGACATGATAACAGTCTTCCAATATTTGAGGGGCTGCCACAGAGAGGAGGGAGGGGGTCAAGCTATTTTCTAAAGCACCTGAAGGCCAGACAAAGAATAATGGATGGAAAATGAACAAGGAGAGATTTAACCTGGAAATAAGGAGAAACTTTCTGACAGTGAGAACAATCAACCAATGGAACAGAAGTTGCCCTCGGAAGTTGTGGGAACGTCATCACTTGAGACTTTCAAGAAGAGATTGGACTGCCATTTGTCAGAAATGGTGTAGTGTAGGGTCTCCTGCTTGGGCAGGGGGTTGGACTAGATGATCTATAAGGTCCCTTTCAACTCTGATTATCTGTTATCTGTTAATCATAATAAATCAAGAAATTGCAGCTTCCTGCAATAACATCAGTGGAACTGCAAAAAATTGAGCTACTTGGAACATCGTACATCTTAAGAAGATAGTTGGTTGATACCTTGGATGCTGCAAGCAACCTGTATCAACCATCAGTGTCTGTCAATGATATTTGTGATCTGTTTTTATTCAGTTGACTTTGTTTCATGTTTAATGAATAAAAGTATAATAATAATAATTATTATTATTATGAATACGAATATGGTTATGAAAATGGAAACACTTTGCAAGAGTGATATAGAAACAGAACTCAAACAATAATTAAATTAACCATTTAATTAAAGACTAATTAATTGTACCTCTCTTGCCCCATAGCCACTTTCTCTATATAAATATATATACATACATCATACATACATCATACTCATCATGGTATTCCAATAATAATAATAATAATAATAATAATAATAATAATAAAAACAACAACAACAACAACAACAACAACAACAAAAATAACAATCATCATCATCATCATCATCTCATCATCATCATAAAAATACCATGATTAAGATGATGTATGTATATTTATATAGAGAAACTGGCCATGGAGCAGGAGAGCTACAATTAGTAGTTTTAAATCAAATGGTTAACTTAATTATTGTTTCAGTTCTGTTTCAATATTATTCTTGCAATGAGTTTCCATTTTGATAATCACACATCACAATAAGCTCTAACATAGTTTGCTGGGGCTTGAATTTGTTTATTCTGCAGACAAGTCCATGGAGGTTAGTTAAACCACGACTTGAGGTCTGCTTAATTGGGTCAGCTAAAACCAAAAAGTTGCATTTGCACCACAGAGTAAATTTAAATAATATTAACCATGGTTCATTTTCTTATTCCCCTTGTTCTGTCCCAATGTAATCTAAGTGGTTAGTTTAGATAATGTGCAAAATCCGACTATGGATTAATTAAGTAATCAGCTTAAATGTGCTATGGGTAGATAGATACAGTCATCTTACTGTGGATAGTGATAACCAATAGTGATTTGTTCAATCAAATATAGCCCAAACTTTCTGGTCTAGTAAACAATCTAGAGCCTGGTTGACTGTAAAGTAGTCTAGAGCCTGGTTGATGCTTCTGGATCAGTGTTTCCCAACCTTGGCCACTTGTCTAGGGAATTCTGGACACTAAAGACCACATATCTTAAAATGGCCAAGATTGAGAAACCTTGTTCTAGATCCATATGTTATGAAGCCACTCCAGCATATAAATAACCAATGACTTGACTGAGGACCAACGAGAAGAAGCACGAGATAGAACAATCAGCCAACTGTTATCATTTAAAAATTGCTCTTGCTCATAGGATAAAGAGAGAGGATCAGACCAGATCATTTCAATTAGAATTGACTCCAGTCCAGAATTCACATCAACAATGTTTGGCCATTTACTGATTAAATATCAATTGATCTCAATTAACAAAGACACAGACTGCATATGAATGCATGCTTGTCCATGTGACATCTGAGAATAGTTTACACCTGAGAATGAAGTTGTTCACTTCTTCTCCTATTCTCTTTTCGAATAAACTCTTTACTCAACTTTTTCCTAACCCAGACAAAATTGACTAGGATTTCACTGATATTATGGATGCTGTATCCTTCATTCTAACAAAAGGATTTCATAAATGGATTAGGTGCATCCTCACCTACCCTAGTCACCTGCCCACTGATCCATTGTGTCTGCCAATGTCTCTGCGCCACCTCAATTATTATTTTATAAATTCCTTTGATTAAGCAGAATACATAAGTAAATAAATAGAGAGGTGCCCTACGACCAAGCAAAGCTCCAGCCCCAAGATGATTTTATAGGAATGCCACCAGATCCTACTTGAGGCTCCATAAGAATCTTTAGACAACAACAACCACCACAACAACAAAAAGCTCAGGAATTTCAGGTTATTTCTTTGCTGAGAAGAGAGATCAATGTAATATAATAAAATAATAATAAATAATAAAAATAAAACAAAGCTAAGACAGACATCAAAAGCAGGAAGAAAGCTGGCCGTGAATAAAAAAGTAATCTCATCCAATTGTCTGCCACCCATGCCGCATGACATGATTGGCTACAGAACGGTCCAATGTGGCAACCATTTTGTGAGAGTGCCCACAGGTCACGTACTGACCTAACAGGTTAGTTTCCCAAATAGACTAAAATAGCCTCCTGACCAACTGCATAACAGAGCAGCAGCGTTCAGTAACGTAGCTGAGACAGAATCAAGGATTACAGATGAAATCATTGAGCATGAATTCATAAGAAGTTTGCAATTCCGGTCTCATTGAGATCTAAATTCAGTAAATAATTCATCAGGCTTGCCTGTCCTCAATCTAAGAGGCCCAACTGTAAGCAATACCCTTTAGCTGAAGAGGGTAACATGGCGCAAACAAGGGGGCTAAGACAGAAGTTACCTCTGAAAGTGCACAGTGCCTTTCCGACTTCAGAAGCTAATTTTCAACCCATAAAAAACGCTTGCTTTAAAGATCAAACATTGAGTCCTCCTGACTTTTGTGGGACGCACCCCTCCTGGTCTTGCTTCCTGCAAAAATAAATCAAATGACCCTTCAAGAACAATAACAGGTCTTCTTTTGCCCTCATCCCTCTCTGTTTTTCACCCGCCGTCTCTCTTGTCCTTCCATTTCAGTCTCAAAAAAAAAATCTCTTGACTTACCCATTTGTAATTTGAACAAGAAGAGGAAAAAAAAATGCATCAAAGCCAACAATGCTATTTAAAAAAAAACAAAAAACTTTCAGAGCCTGTATGCTTGGTCACACCAATAGGAAACCAGCCCTGGCGGTTTGTGTGACTTCACTTCCCAAAATTAGACGCACACATACACCACACACACACATACACACACACATACACATATGCACACACCAAGTCTTGTTCATCCGGCCCCCTGCGCAAGATCAGCCCTGCCAATGCAACTCATCTGACTGCCCATGGAGATCTAGGCAGAAAGCAGCAGGTAGAGGCGTGCCATGGATTGCACCATCAAGGTAAGTTCTGGAGAAGTTCCTCCATCTTTGTTAGCAGCTGATCCCCCTCTCTTTGTCTCTGTCTTCCAGTTTGCACTGAGCTGGTCTCTGGTTCAGTTCCTCTCTGTCTCATACACACCCAGCTCCAGAAACAGGGCCCCCCTCCGCTCTTTCCTTCTGGTACAAAAAAATTTCCTCTTCCTTCCCTTTCGTGGCGGTTGATGTCTCTGAGTTTAAAAAACCCAAACCAAACCACCACCAGACACTTTCAGCTGTAAAGCAGGGAGCCCCTTGCACCGCTAAGTCTGGCCAACCAAACGAAGGCAGGCGAGCAAGTTTTGGGGATCTTCATATTTTGCCACAACCGGACACAAGGACCTACCTTTCACCAAACCATCAAGATGCCTGGCAAGAGATGAAAATGGCATCTCCGTGCCAAAACACAGAAGTCTGGGGAAGGATATTAAGTGTTGGGGGACACGTCACCCCCAAATTGGAATGACTCCCCTGTGGTAAGAGGTCAGTTTATTTTATTTATTTATTTTGCATTCCTGTTGTTATTAATCCATTTTCAATTTTTATAAAGCTTTTATACTTTTCAACCGTAGCTGTTTTTATTCATTCCTTATTTCCAACTTTAGCTTTTTGGTTCGCCCATTCCTTTCACAATTTATTTTCCTGCACAAGCATACATTTCTGACCAGGTTGGCCAAACAGAGGCTGACCTGTACAAACATTGGAGGCTTCAAAAATTTTACCAGCTCAAGGATTTGCCTTGTTTTAACCATGCTGTGCTCTTGAAGAAAATAATAATGTTAACAATCAACTTAGGTTGGTAGAGAATTTTCAGAATTCATTGAGGGAAAACTTTTTTCTTCCCCGGTCCAAGTTTGAGAATATATAGCTAACCTAACTTTTCCTCTAAGGATATCTTCGTTTATCTTCAGCTTTGCATTATTATTGGCAGGAAGGAATCCGTGCTGGGATTTTAACTGTAGTTTAGTGCTGACCTGTTCAGATTTTTAAAGATGAGGGAAATGGAGCCTTGCTTAATCATTTGCAAAGAAGAAGCTGGGTTGGACTGTCACAGTGAAACCAGCAAGCCAGGACTTTGTTGTCTGAGCTGTTCTTGGAAGTAGTTGGCTTCAAGTTGGTGTAGACTTCAGACTAGCAAAGAATCTCGCCTAACATCACCATCCATCTGCCTTCTCTGACCTTTCGGACTAGCTGGTGAATACAGCTCCACAACTTCCAGGTTAAAGAGACCACGGATGTCTTCTCTCACTTGAGGGTTCCCCCAAATCTTGAGAACAGTCTTGGGTTTGGCATTGACTTAAGGATTTTCTGGAATGCTTCACGCGTGAGAGGCCAAGATTTGCCTGTTTGTTTTTCTTTCCCTGGTCATGTTGTGGCAGGGATAGATAAAGTTGCCTTAACAATCTGCCCTTTCCATGGGACGCAGAAAGAATGATTCAGCTTCCAAAAAAATAAAAAATAAGACTCTGCAGTTTTCTTTTCTTCGAGTCAAGCCATGTTAATCAGACACCACCCCATCCTAGCTTCTCTGCTGTTCCTGCTTTCAAAATAATTCAATCTGCAAAAGCCGTTTGACGAAGATCTATGGTAACAGGGCAGTGATATGAGTCTGGTCACCTGCTCATGTCTGCAGGCCAAGGAGCTGTTAATGGATGGTGCAAGGCTAACATAGATTGGATGAATTATTGCTTTTAAAATGTACAAAAAAATTGCCAGTTTGATTGAGTGATGAAGACAGCGGGCTTGAGATCAGGAGACTCTGAGTTCTAGTCCCGCCTTAAGAATGAAAGCCGGTTGGGTGACTTTGGGCCAATCACCAGGAGACAGTGAGTTCTAGTCCCGCCTTAGGTAAGAGCCCTGCTGGGTGATTTTAGAACCAACTCACCTCACAGGGTTGTTGTTGGAGGAGGAAGAAGTGCCTTGACTTATTTATAAAAATAATTTTAAAAGGCGGGATGAAAAAGAATATTTTTTAAAATGCCATTTTGAATTTCTGGAGCAGCTCTAGCATTGGGTCAGTTAGAAACTTGAAGAAAGCAGAAGCAACTTTTTAAACATATTCCCCCCCTCCCCATCCTGTGTGTAATTGTTGAGGTTAGCAGGTGAGAGAACATTTGACTTTGAGGCTATGCACTGTGGATTCTTCAAAATCGGTTTATTCTGTCACTTGCCAAGTCTCAGCTGGGGGCTACGTAGAAAAAGTGTTGTTAAAAAAACTCTCTCTTGCCATGCCAGGATCCTCCCATAATAGTTGCAAGAGTGGGCTGGATCTGATAAAAAATCTTCCAACAATTAAGGAAAATTTCTGGGAAACTCCCACGCACAATACGGGGCCAAAGAGCAATCAAGTGGCCTTGATGTCCTCTAACAACAATAGTTTCAGAGGGAAACTATTTCTGATTTCCTCCTCAATGCTTTCTCCATGGCTTTTACAGCATCTCCTTGAGATACTTTGGGGACAAATTCAGGGCACCTCGTAATGGCAAATTCCATAGTTCAAACAAATCCTTTGCATGTCTTCATACTCTCTAGCACCATGTTATTCCTGATGGGCTGATAGAATTCCCTAACTTGCTATATTATACAACATGCTGGCTGGGGACTTCGAGGAATTGAAGTCCACCCGTCTTAATGTTGCCAAGGTTGAGTAACCCTTGGTTATAAGGATGAATTATGAGGAAAGGTAACGTCTAACTCCATCCTCAGCCATGGAAATTCCCTGGGTGATTTGGGGCACGTTATTCTCTTGTTATTCTCTCGTATCCCAATCTATTACAAAGGTTATTGTTATGAGGATTAAATGAATGGCAGTAGCTGTCGAAGCACCTTTGAGCAAAGGTGGAATATCAATCTACTGAAGAAATTGTCTTCTCTTGTGAACGTCCTTCCAGTTTCCTTGGTGACAATTTAGACACGCTCGCCTCTCTGCTTTTTTCACTTGCTCAGTCTAAACCTACATCCTTGAGTTTTCCTCGTGGTCTCTCATCCCAGCTTGATTAGTTTTTCCAAGCTTGCCCAACCAGGCCTGGGAGCAGCTCTTCGGCTGGGCAACCCTTAAACCAGGGGTCCTCAAACTTGGCAACTTTAAGACTTGTGGACTTCAACTTCCAGAATTCTCCAGCCAGCTATATTCCACATAGGAATATGAGAGTTGAAGTCCACAAGTCTTAAAGTTGCCAAGTTTGGAGACCTCTGCCTTAAACAGTCTCTTGGAACAAACACAAGAGGGCTTTCCTGCCTTGGGTACCATTTCATACCCAGACCAATCCCTCCAAATTTGAAAGATCCTTTCTCCCAGCCTGTCCTGCTTCTGCAGATCCAGCCACTGCTTACCCTTCGACCCAACAGTGCCAAAAGAATTGCTGGAGCAAAGGAGACCATACGCCACTAAAACCACCAACCCCCCCCCTCCTTTCAGACTTAGGATTTCAATAGCCAAACAGGAAACCCTGCGTACATCTCTCCCATCGCCTCCTCCTCTCGATCCTTTATTACAGAAGATGGGAGAGCTATTTAAAGAACCCCCCAAGCTAACAGGGCAGCTCCGAGCTTCTCCAGCAGTCCTTATCAGCAGCAACAGAGGCTTCCGCCATTGTGGCCTCAGACTTCCTGCCTCGGCTTCCTGTGCTAGCTGTCCCACCAGCATCTCTGAGCGTCAACCATAATCCCCCCCGCCATACTGCTGTCCTCCATCTCTGTCATGTCTTTTGGAAAGCACAAGTTATAAGCATAAACAATCATGTTTTAAATTCTGATGAAACTCTGCCAAATTAGCCCCCTTTATCATTGGTTTGCCCTTTATTTATTTTTTCCAGAAGCCAAATTGGGGATGTGATTCAATGCCATGCCTAGAATTATACTCCAGAAACCGTTTCAAAATAAGATTGAATCACATTTATTTTTTTAGATACAAAGTTATTCTAGACCTTCCCCATTTAATTAATATTCTTCTGTAGGGGAATAGAATAGAATAGAATAGAATAGAATAGAATAGAATAGAATAGA